GGGCTTTTTTCTTTACTGCTTGACACTCTGCACACTCATTTATACCCATGGCAAGTGGCTGAAAAATGCTACCCCATCAGAAAGGTAGTTGGGAGAATTTTTTTGCTGTGGTGCAATTGAGACGGTGGTGAAGAACCAAGTCCAGTGTGTGTGCAAGTAACCTGATTCTCTGCCCTGTTCATTCCTAACCCCCCTTCCCCTATTAGAAGACAAGTTGTTCTAAGATCCTCAGCAGAAGGGACAGCAAATTGGATTTTGTAATTTTAGCTGAACCCCTTAATGATAACCCCAAACAGAGCTCTTTGCTATCATCCATCTTTCTTTGGTTAATTATACATTGTCCAGCACAATCATTCTTCTCCACAAATAGCCTGCAATTAAATTAGTTGAAGCTTTTTTCTGAAATTTTGTGTAATACAATAAAATACAATAAAAAACAAAACCCTGGGGGGAGAGGAAGGATACTAGACAACTCAGTTTTTACTGTTTTTTTAACCAATCAAATAAAGGGATCAGAAGAAAGTAACTTCTGGTAAGGGCCCTTTTTAAAAATTGTATTTGCTAAAATACATCCCAAGGGAGGTATGCATTTCCTGTGGATCTGTTGTCATTTAAGGTTCGTTTAAATTTTTTTTTAATTCCTAGCTGGATCTGAAGTCCTTCCCCACATTTAAGGAAGAACATAAAGGTGCCAAGTGATCAGTGCTTGGAAGTTAATAATATAAATATGATTGCCAAGGAAATCAGAAAGAGGAAAGAGCTCACACTAATCCATTCCCATGACTTGTGATAAGAATAAGATATTGCAGTCCTCTGAACTTGGTATCATGTTCTGTTGGCATAATGGTGCTCATCTGTCTATGCTGTAGGTCTGCCATTATTGTGGTAGCTCCACCCGATGCTAGGGATAGCTCAACCTTTGTCCTGTGCCCTTGAGCCAGATCTCGACCCCCCAGTGTCTCTGCCCTCTAGCAGGGGTTATCCCTGGCAACGACTACCTCAGACCCAGAGCTCTGGCAACTGAACCTTTCTCTCTCTGTGCTTGAACCTTACCACAGACAAGTGGCAGGCCCTGCTGGGCTGTGAGTCCAGGATCCTATTCCTGGGATGTGCTTCCACAATGTGAGGGACACTTGGGTCTGGTGGAAGAGGCGAAGAGGAGGACTGTTTTTCTGGCAGGACACAGCCTAGGGCTGTGGCTAAGGGGCCCTTTGTGGCAACTTGCGCTGGGGATCACTAAGCCTGATTTGTACCACCTGGTTCTGGGAGCATCTGGATGGATCCCCTTACCAGCTGCCAATGACACTGATGGGTTGATATAGCAGTTGGGGATCACAGAGCACCCTCCTTTTTCCCTAGCTATTATCCTGACCCCAATGGATGGAGGTAAGCTATGGCCCCTGGCAAACCAGCATCAAGGATGATTGTTCTGTCTGTGAAGGGAGGATCCTGCTAAACGTGGATTTATTAGACTTAGGGCAGTTTTATCTCAATTGAGGTTTGATCTTGGATGAGTCAATTGCCTAGGGCCTTGGTTTCCCTAAATATAAGGGGGGAATAATATCAATATGTCCTTTTTCTTATCCTCTGTGTCTTGTCTACTTGAACTGTAAGGTTGTCAGGCAGGCTGTTTTAGCATGTGATCATACAGCACCTGGCATAAAGGCCCCTAGGCTCAGCTGGGGGCTACTAGGTACTATCCTAGTAGAATGAATTAATAGCTACAATTAATCCATCCATTGATAATAGGCTTCTCTGGATACTGCGGAAGCGCCAATCAGAGTGTATGAGAAGGAAAAAACAAAGGTTTTAATAAATTGTTTGTTCCAAAGCCATAAGCATCATGTTTCTCTTCTACCTAAAACAACATCCTACATGTTTAATTTTTCACCATCCAGTTTTCTTAATGATGATAAATATTTATTTTTCTTTCATGGACAATGACAGTCTCATTGTAAATTCATTTGCAATGTCCATTTATTACAAAAGACTGGAGATTTCAGCCTCCTTGTTGTGTCTGGCAACTACAGGGGATTAATTGCATGCTGTCATAATGGCAGATCTGTCAAATTCAGCCTGAGCGTGCTAATAGCAGGATTATTATTTAACAGTTCATTCTCTGTGAGGTTGCTTTTTATTCTGCTTCACTTGGTGAAGTGTTTTTAAGAATCAAAGAACTAAAACAAAAGTCAGTGTGAGTTCAACAGTGAATGTGTTAAGAGATGGCTTCCCCCTGTCTTTGTGATTCTAAAGGACTGTTTCCAAATTAACTGTGAAGGCATGAATCATTCTGACAAATAAGAAGCTAATGGGCTTATAAGCTTTCTCTGTGGGTATCATGCCCAATGCCACCCTAAGATGGGGGATCAAAATTGAAACCTGCCTACGCTGTAATTACTGTTGAATAGGGGGATGTGAGGGCTAAAGGGAACTTTAATTCAAATTAGGAACATCAGACTGGAAGGAACCTTTAGCTCATCAGGTCTAGTCCCTGCTTTCATTGGCAACTGCAACCTATCCAATCTTTTATAAAATTATTAAGCTCCATCCTAAAAAAGAGCTAGGTTTTTTTTGCTGCTGCTATTTTGATTGGAGGTCCCCTGGAACCTCTGTGGTCTGATGTCGAGAGAACTTCTAATGTGCAGAATTAATTGTATTCATTGTCCATTTTTAAACCCATTCTTTCCTACAAAAATTGTTCTGAAGCTTTGCATACTATTGAAGTCAGGCTACTGGGCATGGAACAGCCCTGATTATTTTGTCCTTAACACAGGATAAAAGCAAATGCAGTACTTTTTCATTCTGGTACAACTCATATGATAGTGGCTCCACTTGCTGATCGACTGGCGATTTCATGTGTCAGTTCTTTCAGAAGTCTAGATTTATCTTTTCCTTCTGTCTTGTGTGCTTTCAAACTCTGAGTTTTGCTTTTACCTTGCTAATGGCAGTTTACTTTTTCAGACCCTCACTCCCATTATCCATTCTGTTTTTGTCCTCATGGTCATGATCATGGGGACTAAGGCAGAGGATTCCTTTATTTTTAGCTATCTCTATGTTATTTTGAATCTCTCCCCATCAGCACCCACTAGCAACCCTATTTCTTTTCTTGTGCTTTTTTTAAATATACCACTGAAGAAGATTTTGCTGTTTAATATCTGTTTCATGGTCTAACTTAGTTTGACTTGGGGTAATTCTCACTTCATCTGTATACTTCTTCATAGATTTCGTAGACATTAGGGCTGGAAGGGACCTCGTGAGATCATCGGGTCCAGCCCCCTGCCCAAGGGGCAGGAAGTCAGCTGGCATCAGATTACCCCTGCAAGATAGGCATCCAAGCTTCTTGACCTCAAAGGCATTGCTTCCTTTGCTGAACAGCCCCTTTCTCCATTCCTGATATGTTATCTGCTTAGTCCTAATATCTTGTTGAGCTTACATGCCCAGGTATGTCTTGCAGTCCTTTCTTACAAGTTCTTCCCTTGTTTGGGATACATATTCCAGGTCATGTTAGTAGTGTTGATGTGACAGTGATAATCTAGGGAATACACAAGAAGCAAGATATGCAAGGTGAATTCATTTTGTCAGAGCAACTGCAGTGGGCAAAGGTTAGGCAGGCTTTGGGGCCAGATGAGCAAAGGGGCATTTTGTGCCCAAATCTGTCTGACATCCCTCCCAACTACATAGTTGGTTCACTTCCAACTATATGTATTGCTAGTCAGATAAAAGTGAGCTTTAGCACCTTTGACTAGAAGAAATTCCCGGCTTCTGCTGTGTTCTCTCAGGCCAACTGACTGCATTGATTAGTTTGCTCTTTTAACATTGAAAACTTTATTTAAAGACTTTTTTATCTTTCCATTTAATTTTAAATTGAATCAACATGTCATCCCATGAAGCAAGATGATTTTCTATGGCTAGCATTTCTATAACGTTCTCTTTTCATAATACAAGACAGCTTAGTCTATTTCCCTGAGTCTTGCCACTGCATGGAAAAGCACTGCACGCTTGCTATTTTTTTCTAGACTTACTGTTTCCTTTCTTTGCACTTATGTTACAGCTGCTCTCAGAAGTACTAAAACAGCCTTCATACAGCCAGATAGAATTTATAGAAATGGTCATGTGTTTCATGTAGTGATTAGACATGGGTTCCTACCGAAACTATACATCAAACACACATAAATGTCCATCCAAAACTGGATTTCATGATTTGTATCTCTCTATATGCAACAGACTGAAGCAGCCTTGCAGGAGAGGAAAACCTGATTTAATAGCTTCTGTGTTGTGGTGTTCGTTCCATGGGGCTGGTGCCTGATGCTCACTTCAAAAAAGGTGGGACTTATAGAGAAAAGGGCTCGAGTTTTGTAGGTAGCCCAAACTGCCAAGGGGAATGCAGCTAACAGGCAATTCCCTGAAGTGGCTTTTGGGAAACTCCTCTTGTCCTTGGATTCCGGCCTTTTATCACTAGCAACTTCCCCAACTCCCTTTAGGGGGAAATTCATGCTGTTAATTCAGCCCCTGATCTCATTTGTGCTTTTGAGCAAAACGTTTCACCTCCCCAGGCCTGACTCTGCAACATTGCCCCACTTTTATGTTGAATGGACTTTACTGAGCTCAGGGATAGTGGATCTGGATCTCTGCTGTCCTGTCTCTCATCATGACTTGATGGAGGAGGGTTTTATACCTCTCTGCACAGATGTAAATGATCTTTGCCAGCTAAAATCTCTTCCAGTGAGAATCCATTGATTTACTTGAAATATTGCCCATTTATATCAGCTGAGAATGTGGCCCAAAGATGCAGTTTACCAGAGAACCGTGCCCAATAATGTACCTGTGTAGTGTGTGTACATACATCAGAGATTCATTAATCAGTGAATGGAGCTGATCTCATTACTTGTCTCACTGAAGTCAGTCATGCGTTAAGTATAACTTGCGTGAGTGAGGACAGCTGTCGCCCCCCCGTTTCCCCCCCGTGTCACAAAACATCACAACAGCAGCAAACATTACAATAATTTTGCACCAGCTCAGAATTTATTATAATACAAACAGGTTTATCAACACAATATATTCTCTACTTATGAAAATATCAATATTCACAATTTTGAGTAGGTGACAGGTCTCATCATTTTATATAGTCAACAGCATATTTAAAAATTACTGTCTTCACTGTGATTTTCAAGGACACATGCTTATGAGAAATTGTCATGCTGTCCATTCACAGCTTTTTTTTTTTCTAATTGTAGATATTTGAAAATAAGTTGAATCAAGTTTGAGTCTCCTTCTTCCCTACCAAGAATTTTCCATCTCCAGGATAAATTTTTTCCCTAAATAATGAGACAGCATGTGCTTGGTTAAGTTTTATACTATAGGAAAATTAGGAGGTACGAACAATACAGCAAGACATTGGCTAGTTTAACAACAGTCATTGCAAGATACTTCACAAAACCAAAAAATAAGGCAAGTATTATCAACAGCAGCTCCCATACGGTGGACTAAAAAGGCAAGGCCCTTTTAGTTACCCAAACTGGTCCCCAAAAAGGCTTCAAAATGTTTATTGTTAACAAGTTATGGTCTGATCCAAAGTCCACTGAGGTTAATGGAAAAACCTCGCATTGCCCTCAATGTGTTTCATACCAGCCACATAGAGCCCTAAAATCACCCAAACAGAAATGGCTAATTAATGCATATGGAACTAACACCATGGCATTGCAAAGATTGATATGAAAATACTAAGGCTTGTTTTTAAAACATTGTCACAATAACCTGATGGAATATCTTTCATTCCAAATCAAATCTTAGGTTGACATATTTACCTTTAAATATGGCCATTTGTGAAAATATGATGAGGTGGACAAACATGATGTTAAGAAAAGTAATAAATGATATATATATGGCAAAATACTCCATGTACTAAATTGAAATATTAAAAAACCCTAAACATTCATTTATTTATGTAAGATTACTAATATATTAAAGTAGAATAGTGAAATTTTTATATAAATAAGTATTATTGTTTAATATTATATACTTCCTCAAAAACAAACCACTTATGCTATATAGGTATATTGCACTTTGACTTGTTCACATGGTAACTCAGACTAGCATTCCTCATAGCAAATTTAAAAATAAAAAAAGATATAAATATAGTGTTTTCCCCAAAACTAAACATATACAGTACCTTTTTTTTTCTGTGGTAAACTTTGGTTAATATCAATTTACAAAGAAAAAGTAGAGAGAGGTTTGGGAGAGCACAAAAAAATCCAAGTTGATAGTGAAAGAGCTTAATAATTTTGCTCTCATTGTAGTTATTAGCTGTTACCAAATATTAAAAGGCCTAGCATTTCTTTATTATTGCGATTCATATTTTACAGACACCATATTTTGTCAAGATTTACAGTGAAAAAGACCCAGAAGACATTTTTCCCCTTTCTCTCCACATTTCAGAAGATTAAATTTTTAACTTTGCCATGCTGCGCTGGGGGAGAGGGTCAAATTCTGCTCTCTGATATCCCCTCCAGATACACCTCTGCCAATCTCGGGGAGAACGAATATATAATACAACAGCATGAAGCAGGACATGCAGAGTACCCTTCGTTCTCACCTGAAGTCAATGACTAAATCATCAGCTGGTACAAAATAAGGCAGCTCCACTGAAGTCATTATAGCTATGCTGGTCCACAGCAGTTGAAAATTGGGCCATAATGTTCGCAATGCTTCAAATTTCAGACTTATCCAAGTGATAGTCTCTCTTCAGTGAGGCTCCCTCATGTAAATGAAGGGTTTGTTGTATCAGGTGATCTGGGACTCATTCTTCGTTGCCTTGTACTTGGCATTTCCCTGTTTCCCTGCACAGGCACAGATGGCTGTTCAAGGTGTCAGTGGCCAGAGGGCAGTCCCCTCTGCCTAACTTCAATGGGAACCTGTGGGTATTCTGCATTTCTGAGGCCCTTACAATATTGAAACCACCTCTAGTATGGCAGGCTGTTAGTTTGCCCGACTTCATCCTCGAGAGGGACTCAGTGTTGCTGTTCCACTGAACCCAGTGGGCTTAACTCCCCTCAAGGAGGATTTCATGCCACATTGGTGGGTCCCTAGTCAGCTCACAAAGTGTAACAAAAACTGCATATACACAAACACTGCCAGTGGTGGGCAACCATCTTACTATTATCAGTTGAGAAGCCCCTACATTCACTGCCAAAGTTGTGCTTGTGTTTACCATGCAAGGAAATATGTTCACATTATTTTTTAAGGCGTGTGTTAAATGCCCAACAAGTAATGTAAGTGCTACAATGCACACATGGAGACCACATACCGAGCACTAAGGAGGAATAACAGCAAGTGAAATGTACTCTCAGCCTTCTATAAACATTTTCCCCAAAGTCTTCTACACTCTGTTGCTGATATGCTGCTTCTCAGCGTAAAGGAAGAACAGTTAAATATTTATCCTATTTAAGACAGCGTAAAGGACCCTATTCAAGCATTTTGGGTAGCCTTTGATTTTACTGCTGTGGGGTCTTGAATATGTGTATTCCACAAACAGATTTTGAAGTAAACAAGCCACTGGCAAACCTGTCATACCATAGACAAGAACTCTCCAAAAAATTTTTGTATTTTAATGTTTGTAGCTATATAATCTGTAAAGGCCAAATGTTGTGGGAGGGTGCGTATTCTGACTGGGTTCCAAGGGAGGTGAGGGCTTTATACATATCTCACACAATCAGGTCCAGTAGAAACCAGATTTGTCCCCACACTCATGCTTCTGGAGAGACTAATTCAAGTTGCCGTAGAAATGTGCTACTTTCATTCTCAGCTCAGGAACTCTCCTCCCCAGCTCTTCCCATCTGGCCTTTTTAAAGGAAATAACTTAAAACATATAAATATTGGTAGCTTGCGGGATTGCTTTTCATGCCAAGGCTACAAAAGGTGAAATAATCCTTGAGCCTTGTTCAAATGAGCCTAGAAAGGCTTGTCACAGTTCAGATGTCTTGCAGCTTGCAAGAATGCAGAAAGTCCTCAACAAGAGAGCCTGTGCGGCAACATTTCATGTCAGAAATGACACATGGGTTTCAGGAAAATGCACACAATGCAAGTGGTGCCCTCCCCAGTACAGAAAGCTTTCGGTTGTTGTGTCAATAGTGAAGAGAACTAGATGGGCACACAAGTTGTGTTACAGTTGTAATTAAACCCCCTTGTGGTTTTTCCCTTAACAACTCTGCACTGCACTGGTGCTTGAACATGGAACATTTGATAGCAATTGAACATAAAAACTCATACTCCAAAGCCTATTCAAAATGCTATGTAACAAGCAGAGGCATTTTGCCTTGTTGTTCTGACTCTCCAACTCAAGCACTCCCATTCTCTTCTAACAGTCTGGTCTGCCTCTTAGTGTTGCAAGGAAATGAAATCAAATGACCACTCTTAAAAATAGCCATTTTAGCAATTACATCCTGTAGGTGTAACTGCTTGAAAAGAAGTTGCACCCTGAGAAACCAGTGATCCCCCTTGTCATGGTGATATTTTTATAGGCTTTCCATTCTTATCATACTGGTAAACAAGCATTTTGATGCAGTGAGAATTGGCAGGGGAAATCCAAGGGCTGCTAGTTATTGAAAAGTTATGGTTTGTATAGAACTGCACGGGTTGTTTCTGACACTTAAAGAAAGCTTTTAGTGTCGCAGCTGCCATTGTGCGAAATCTCTTGCTAATAAAACAGTAGAGGAAGAAATTAATTGCAGTGTTCAACAATGCTAGCATATTAGCAATGTCCGACACAATATGTACCAACCAGCTGTTGTTTATAGGTGATACATAGAGGTGATACAATATCATGATTATTCTTGGTGCCCAAAGTATGGCAAAAATAGATGTTATAGTAAACAAAATGGCTGTCGTTTTCCCTGTGGAGTATCCTCTCAGTCTGAAATTGCATTTTCGTCTGAGCTTGTACACAATGATTGAATTCAGAATGAAGAAAATCGAGCACGGCACTAAGTAAACGGTAAAACAGTGGATCCAGATGAGGACATGATGTACAGATGTGCTTATGTAGTCTTCAATCCAAATATTGGGCCACCAGTAGTAGGGGATGCTGGTCAGAAAGCAGGTGATATAAACGCTTACAATGACTTTTCGAGTACGAGCTGGGTAGGAGACTGTGTGATACTTAAGTGGGTGGCATACTGCTATATATCTATCAATTGTTAGTGGCACAGTAATCCAAATGGATGTATGAATGGAAGAAAATTCCAAGACCTCAATTATTTTGTCCAGTACCTGAGGCATCTGCTTATTCAAGATGAAGTCCTCCATCAAAAAATCGACAAAGACAATGAAGAAGAGTACCAGTATGTCGGCAGCCGCTAGAGCTAGGAGATAGTTATAGGAGGACTTCTGTCTGCGAGCCACCAACTGTGAGAGGATGATGACAGTCAAGATGTTTGCTGTGGAGACAGAAAAGTTTGGTTAGGCTCATCAGAGGCAAAGGGAGCCTTTTGAATATACATTTTGTGCTGTAGCAACATTTCAAGCACTCTGGAACACAACTAATTTTATTAAAGTCCAAAAAAAGCAAAAGCAGAAATCTTATGTTGAATCTTTCAACAAGATGCAGCCCTGAAAAGTCCACATGGATAATGATCTTTACTGTGGGATCAGCTGTGATTTTGATGATGTGCCCACACAGGGGGGGAGATGATCACAAATCCAGGCAAGCAGGGAAAGGGCAGACCCTTCGCTCCACACCCACCATTGCCCAGGGGCAAAGCACTGGATGGCAATGTACTACTAATACAGGCCACCAGTAACCTATTTTTCACACAGGAAGCAGGTGAGGATCTCTGAGTTGCACACTGCCTCCTGGTACTGGTGCTGTGGCAGATTATGCTTCCTCACTTTTCTTGGGGTTGAATACTGACCCAGCCCTGTATCAATGTGTCAGGCCACTGCCTATATTGAAGGGACAGTGACTGTTGTGTAGTAGGGCTGGCTTTTGGAAGAAAATATTCTCTTCAATCTTTTTTGATAAAAAATTAATTAAAAATATCCACTTTCAAAACTTTCTATTAATACCCCTAGACCATTTTTGTATTTTTATACTTTTATTTTTTCACATATCCTTTCCTTCTGTTGCTCCTCTTCAGTGGCAGAATGGAAAGGCAGAATAGGGGGGAGGAGAGAAGGAAAGGGACTCAGTTCCAGCTTGCTGACCTTGACCCCATTCACAACCTGTATGTCTGTGTATTTGAACTTGAAGCAGAAGGGGCAGATCTCAAACTGGCCATCAGTTGGTTATCTGCACTAATAAGCTTGGGCTGCAGTTCTGAGAAATGAATCCCCTGAATTCTCACTGGGAGCAGGATGTGGTGCTCAGTATTTTGCAGGAAGGTCTTAACACTGCCTCAAATCAGGTCTCTGAACAGCGCAGCCTGTAGTAACAGGCCTGTTTTGCTTGCTTTCCACTTGTGGTCCATTTCTGCTTCAACACTCCCAGATGAATCTATTCTCCAACACCATTTTTTGCTTATCCAGAGAGGCTCTCTGCAAATGCAAAACCTTACAGGTTAAGAGTGTATCTGTTGTAGCTTCTAGAGTACCCCTTAGCCATGAAGGATCCAAGACTGGTTAAACAAATGTTTGCACTTGAGTAAGCACTCTGAAATGCATATGATTTGACTCAACTCGACTAAAAAAAATCCCATATGCTTCCTGCAAACTCTATCTGAGGGAGGATTTTAGCAGCAGTTCCCCGGTCATCGTGCAGTAAGCCCATACCCCAAACTGCCAAAAAGGATGGCGCATTGCTCAAATAACCCACACAGTAAGTCAGGAAAATAACAAAGAGCTACATAAATACTCTTTCCCTTCTCACAGTTAGAACTGTTGGTCTTTAAGGACACAGTTAATACTAACTTGCATAGATATCTTGCTGAATCAGGGCCCAAGGTATTTGGGATTCAGGTTGTATGCAGGCCGTAGGCCTTGACAAACAAATTCTCCTTGATTGAGTCTTGTATTGGAATTTTCTCAGAATCACATTAGTGGTTTTGTTGAGTGGATGATATGAAATACAATATAATCATTTACTTAGTAACAATAGATATAAATATCATTACCAAGGTACAGCAGAAAATTGCCAGTGGTACAACACTTCAGCTATTCAGCAATAGTTTTTCACTGCCTTGCACAGCATGGGGTGAGAGAGGCATTGGAGACCACAACTGGTAGGTCTTATTGAATCACCTTTCTCAGCCCACTACCAAAGCTGAATTGTTCCCTGCTGTATGCTTAAGCACTCTAAGTGTCTAGTGCTTGGTGAAATGGGTGAAAATGATATTCAGACAAAAAGAGCTACATTGTCAGCACTCCCAGAAGCCCACTCCTTGCACTATTCTGATAGGTCACCTTTGTATAAAAAACGATCCATGGCAAAGGAAGACAAGGGGCTAGGACATCAGAGACGCATTTTGAGAGGCCACGTTCTAAGTCCCCAGATCCCTGCAGGCAAATGTTGAGTGATTGCAGTGCCCTTTACCTCAGCAGGAGATATGGAGATTGCAGTGCTGGGTGGTGTGAGAAAGTAACAGATTGTGAATTCAAGTTTACTTGAATGGTTTGCTTGAAAGGAGTGGTGCACGGCTCTTGCCATGTACTTCCTGACTACCGGTGAATAAGACTGTCCAGATTTCGAAGGGCCTGGTCATTCCTGTGGGGGTGACACATTTGGCTGTAAGCCCCCATTATTCACAGCACCACAGTATTTTGTCTTTTCAAACCTCTGAGGGCTTGGAGAAGAGCCATCCACCTGAAGCTTCAAGAGATGATATTGGTGGGTTGTGCAACTGGAAAAAATGGCAGAATTAAATGAATCCCCTTTACTTGGGAGGATCTTTGAGATAGAGTCTCTGGGGTCCCCTGACATTCAGCAGCAACAGTGTCCAAGAGGACTTGGCTCCTTTTTGCATGGTTGCTCTTCCATCTGGAATAGTTCAGACTAGAATAAGACAATGCATGTTGTTAGGAATTGCATGTGAACACCACTCACAAACCTCAGACTGTGTGGTGTGACTCCTTGCTTACTGAGCCAAGCTCTTGCTGGCAATAAATTACATCTCTCCTCCATAGTCTGTTTTGGCTTTCAACTAGTTTCAGATGACACCAGCACTAAACTCTGGGTGCCGACAGAAGTGCAGCTCTCCGCTGTAACTGAGAACACTTTGCAGGACATGTTCTGAGTCGCAGCGATCTCCTGGACCAAACAGAAGTTCACTGCTGGTTCCAGGGTGGAGGGAAATCTAGCTGCTGGGTGCAGGTTGCAGCCAGTTCCCCCTAACAAGGGCCCCTCCTCCCTGCCAGCCTGTCCCTGTTTTTAGCATGGGAGGAGGGAAAGGGATCAGAGGGAGCTCTCTAGGGGTTCCCAAGCTGGGCCCAAACTGAACTCCATCCACTCCCTTTCCCCCCTCCCATTCTGAAAACAGCTTGGAAGCTGGCAGACAGAAGTTACAGAAGATGCTGTTTTGAAACATCTGCATCTGACCCCTCATGCAATGAGGGTTAAGATTTTTGCCCTACTGTCCATTTTTGAAGTGGTCTGCAGCCATGCACTTGTGTTTGGTCACGGCTGTAGGCCATTGTCTGTGGCCAGAGGGGGGCAAAAATTGTCACTTCTGTCAGCACCCCTCTGATCAACTGGCAGGGTAGAGAGAAAAGTGGTCCTGGCTTACCTTCATGTTGATTGTTGGTTCCCATGCAGACTTGGGGCAGTGGAAATTTCTCTGAGTCCTGTTTACTGTGCCAAAGGCAATCCTACCTTGCAGTTTCCTACAAAGCCTGAGGTTTGTAAGAAGGTTCAGGAGAGAATTTCAGCCATAACTATGTTGCTTAGCCTCTCATGCAGCTGCACAGGGGAAGATGAGGCCCAAGGAGTTCAGAGACTGGACATAAGGACAAACCTTCTGTGCTCTCTTTTGAGCATTGCAAGGCTACTAACACTGGGAGTTGACAACTAGGGAACAAGTGGTCAGGTGGATTCTGAAGACTGGATGGTGACATCTCCCATGACAGCTCAAGAAACTGGGTCCAGTCAGGTCCATTGTCACCTCCTCTACTTTCCCTGGAAGGCATAATGGATCCCTTGATTTTCTTGCTTTCATGGATTATAGTCATAGTTCAAATAATCTTTATGCATGGTCTGGGGAGGGGGATTCATAGAAGTGTTTCAGTTACCTATTATCCCAACAGGGGAGCTTAAAGATTGGCAGTTGAGTACAGGAAATAGATAGGGCTGTTTCATTTGCAAAGAGTATTCTGGATGAAACCATCAGATTGCTGTGAAACACTATTTCTGTTTTAAGTGGATAGTGATGTTCTGTGAATAAGGCACTCTATATGGTTCAATATTTCAGTATCATTATCTAGCTAAACGAAGTAGCTATGATGCTTGCTGTGTGACAATCCATAAGGTCACTGAATATAATGGATGCCTTTTATTGCATATGATTGTTGTTAAAATCCATAAAAAATATCTATAAAACTGTTCTTTAGGTCAAGCATTACAATTACCTGAACTTCACATGGGAAAGCTACTGCTATGAACATTTAAATATAATCCCTTTTAAAATTTTTGAACTTTGATTTTCTTTCATTTTATTGCTATGTCCTTTGAATATGGAAAGTTGTGAGTACTTGCATGCAAAGTATTAAAAGTATACCGTGAAGCACAGTGAAGTTTTGGCTTGATAGGCATAGGTAATCTACTGTAAAACACTAAAAACTAGATGGCTATCCTGTCCAACAGCCAAACTGGACTGTGGTTACTATTATGAAACCCTTTGCAAACACCTATCAAAGATTTGAGTTTATATTTTGCTCTTTATTTCTGTGGCAACTGTGGTAATTGTTGGCAACTGGTAAATTTTGCTATTAGCTATAGAATGACCTAAGGAGCTACACAGGAGAAGCCATTCTGGAACGGAAAACTAAGTAAATCTCTACTTGTTAAGATGCCTACTAAAAACTTTTTTAAATGACATGTCCAAGTACAGTTTAGGCTTAGCTGTCAGATAAGATAGCTATGTAGTCTTGATTTTATTTTGCAGCTTCAGTGCTACAGTGTCAATAGTGATCCAGTGAGAGCAATATGTACCAAATTCAAACTAGGTGCAAGTGGGAGCAAATTGTGTGCCTGCTTGTCGGAATTTGTACTTCTCTTTGTTTGCAAGGACTTAAGGTCCAGGGCTTTTTGACACTAGTCCAGACTTGTCAGATGCCCCATTTAAGAGAGAGTCTAAAAGATGTAATCAATGGAGTACACCTTTCCTTTTTGCCCTCAGGAAACACCCCTGAGAACTGATTTAAAAGGCTAATGTGTTTATTGTCCTATTGTTTTCAGCACCAGTGAATGGAATACACATGCACCCATGGCAAGGAAGAGCCACTTAAATTGGACCATCTATGTGTGTACTACC